AAGAGAGACTGGCGCAGCCGGCTCTGACAAGGGGATCTCGAAGTCTGCCAAGCCATCCAAAGCTGGCAGCGCCACGAGTGAACCATGCCATCAAAACTCAGAACTGAGATGGCGCATAAGGTGCTTGAGGGTCTCGGAAACGATGCGTTTGAGCTTGCACGCGACATGGGAATAGAAGCCATAACTGTCCCAGGTGGCTTGCGTAAGTTCATAGAGCAACTACGCAGCGTAGTCTTCCCAAGAGCCGCAGAAGAAGCGCGCGAACTGTTCCGTGTCGGCCAGCGACCAGGTACACTGGCGCGGCAACCAGGCGAGACCATGCTCTCCTACGTAAGTAGGAGGAGGCGTTGGTGGAAACTCTTGCGCACGCTGGATTCCAGCATAGAGTTATCCGAACCCATGCGAGTCGAGCTGCTGCTCGAACTATCGGGGCTATCATGTCAGGAAGCCCTGGTAGTCAAAGCCTGCACGTCCAACGCCAAGGACTGCGAGGCAGTCTGTGCTACCCCAAAAAGAACGACACAGGTGTCCACCTGAAGGAAGGCCGAGCCCTCGATGGTGGTAACCAGTTTAGCAGAGGTGCCACGGGCTTTGGCCGAGGTGGCTACCAGAACAGGAGCCACAAGGGCGGATGAGGGAAGAGCTTCGGCAAGCGAGCCTTCCCGGCTGCCGTGATCGAAGAAGATCGAAGAAGCCCTGGCCCCGGAACTCCCTAGTCCGGGCATGCCATCCAATTGGAGTTGGCTGCCTATGCCGCCTTCGGTAAAGCCAAGGGCAAGGGCAAGGGCAAGGGCAAGGGCAAGGGCAAGGGCAAGGGCAAGGGCAAGGGCAAGGGCAAGGGCAAGGGCAAGAAGGGCTCGAAGGGCTCGAAGGGGAAGGTCGTGAGGTCCTCCTTAAGCCTGGACGAGAGGCGCGATAAACTTAGGAACCTGAAGTCCAAGTCTAAGTGCCTTCGTTGTGGAGCCATGGGACACTGGGCAGGTGATCCCGAGTGCAAGACTCACCAGAGCGGGAAGGGCAAGGGGGCAGCCTCGAAGGGCAGAGCCAACCTCGCGAGGGTTTCTATGTGCCCTCTGGGAACGATGCCATTCCCAATGCCCATGTAGTGACCGACCTTGCCGGCGTCAGCGCCAAGAGCAAAGGAACTCCGCCTGCGTGGCCGAGAAACCCAGCCGGGTATTCGAGTGCCTCACCCTCAGCCTCACGCGCAGCCAAGACCCATGGAAATGGAGGGAGGCGACAGGAAATTCTCAATAGGTCAGCACAAGGGCAAAACATTTGCCCAGGTCGCTAGGGATGTTGAGTATGTGCAGTGGTGCCAAGCGCAGCCTGCACCATCGGCACAGTTGCGCGACTTCATGACATGGTTCACGCGATACTACGTGATCCAGGAAGGACGCGTGGAGCCACGAGCATCCCTAGGTATCCCGGAGGGAACCTATGCGCCGAGGTCCAAGGCGAAGGGCGCTAATAGGAAACCCCCGAACCCGCCAGTGTTCTGAGTGTACCTTCTTTCGTATCAAGGAAGCAGTGCCAACTTCATCAGGAAGACGTGCCGAGACTGCGGACACTGTGAACAGGTCCGTCGAGAGCAGGTGCTCACCCATGATCCTGAGACCTGCCCGCGCACAGTCCAGGACGACAAGTCGTACGTACTGCCGCCAATGTGGAACGTTCATAGATGAAGTCCCCCAAGACTTCCATCAGGAGAGCCGACACGTCGAAGAGCAGGTGCTCACCACCACGGCGGACGCATTAAGCGCCGCCAGAGCGGTCGTCGCTGACGATGCCCCCGAAGACCTCAACCCAGAGGCTGTGGAAGCAATCCTCGGTACCTTTACGGACCGAGTGAACACAGTCCTGCTTGAGGGTGAACCCGTAAGCGCGGTCACTCTGCATGACATGCTGCGCGAGTCAGTCATCGCGGTCATGGATACACCAGATCCGGACAGCCCGAGCAGTTGGGGATTCGTCCCTACGGGCATGGTGGTACGGGGTAGAAGCCAGACCACAAGGACCGGTCGCAGCATAAGCCTTCACCCAAAGGGCAAGCCTAAGGCGAGATCCGGAAAGGGCTCCTGGAGGCCCGATGAGGGTTATGTCAAGGGTAAGTCGAAGGCTAAGACCAAGGCTAAAGAAGACACAGGCAAGGGGAGAGTAGTTGAACCACTTCCCGTCAACCTTAGGGATGGTACCGAATTGGACCTCCTGAACTTCCATGACGATTGGGTCTTAGACAATTACGATCCCTGGCACCCCTTAGCCGATTGTTCCCCTGGAAGACGAAACGACCTGAGCCCAGGTCCCGAACAGTACGACGATTGGGTCGAAGAGCAACTTAGGTTGGAAGATGGGTCGAAGAGCAACTTAGGTTGGAAGAGGTTCAGAGAGTTAAGGAACTTAAGCCCATGAGGCGAGAGGATGTCAGGTTTGAGGACATACCTATGCCAAGTCGTTTGCTCAAGTCAAGTAATGCAGCTGATGCATACTTGCAAGCCCCTGACTCACCTCTCCCTAGCCAAACCTTCGTTCAGCTGCCTGAGGTACTGTCATCTGCACCGAGCTTCTCCGGATGAAGTCACCGTTGCCAGGAGATGCAAGGGAAAGGGCATAGGTAGTGCAGGTTCTAGTGCAGCCCCGCAGGCAATGGAGGTATGCATACCCCAGATGTTTTCTGGTAGGGATCTAAGCCCACCAGTTGAGCTCCAAGGTTTGCCACTTCGGGAGATTGCGCATTCAGTAGAGGAACCATTATCCCCTACTGTCTTCCCCCGCAATGAAGCAGGCCCCTAGTCAATGTTTGGGATCCCTCGGACCCAAACCTGTATGGAGCATTAGATGAAGGGTGCAATAGTACATGTCACTCAAGAGCCTGGCAGAGCAGAAGCTAGCACGCTTTGGCCTCACCTTCCCATTTATAGATGCCACTACGAAGTCCTTCACAGGTTTAGGCTCTACTTCTGGGACCAGAGGAAAGCGTAGGCTTCCTTTCAGCATTCAAAGAGGCGAAGGTGTACAGTCACGAGGTTGACACTGAGGCTAAGAACCCCCTGCTCATCTCCCTTTTCGCACAAGCCACCCTTGGCCTTATTCAGGATATGGCCAGGTGCGTTTGCTGGATGCCGAGCACCGGGTCTGGAAGGTGCTTGGAACCAATACCCTTATATAGGTGTAGTGAAACTGGGCTACTACTCATATGCCTGTCAAAATTTGACACAAACTCACTACCCAAGTGCATAAGGAGCCATAGGATCCGTCAGCCACTCCCTGCAGAACCCTATGCATGCAGCAAGGGTTTGGCAGCCATGGCACTTGACACGCCAGCGCCGTGCGTGGTCAATGGAATCTATTGGGACCCCCAGGGGGCCAATGCAGAGCAGCTGAAAAATCACAAGTGGAAATCTTGTGATTGCAACTGCAGGTGCCCGCTACAATTTTGACGAAAGGGGCTCTGACAGACGGAAAATCAGAGACCCCGTGGCTTGGAGGCCATCCCTACCGGCCTTACATGATCGCTTTATCGTTCTGAAGGATGTTCGGAATCTGCATGATCCGAACGAGGGTGCATCTGGCGGATGCATAGGAAGGCACCCCCAAAATCATTGACGGCAGCGTCCTCTCCACCGAAGTTGGCAGGAGGGCCCTGAGCGAAATTTGTCAGGCCGTCGACAGGGCAGTGGACAAAGGGAACCGATTTGTGATGTTGGTATTCTGCAATGGAAACCGCCACAGATCGGTATCCGTAGGGACCTGCGTTTCAGCGGCCCTATACTCAGCAGGCATTCCACATGACCTGGTTCACTGCAATGCGTCCGAGTCATGGCCCCACATGAAATGTGGGGGGCAATGTGAGCACTGTGGGGACCGGTTTACGGGCCCCATTGCCACAGTCTTGCAGACTGACGCCAGCTGTGGGTACCCCTGTCAGGACCCCGTCACCTGGCGCTGGAACTGTTGTTGTTGGTGCGGACGACGCCTCGGAGGCCACGTCGCCGGCGTCAACGCTGGCACCAATGCCGCCACCTGCCAATCCACCAGGGCAGCACGTTCGCGGACCACCGCCTGGGGTAGGAGCAGCTCTCAGGCCACCTGCTCCAGAGATCCCTGCGGCAGGAACTCTGGATGAGTGGCGCGAGAGGGCTATCCGTGCGGAAGCCCTCCTTGACCATGCGCGGGAAGAGGTGCAGACCTTGAAGCTGCTCAACTCCGAGCTGACCGAGCGCAACACGCACCTTGCAGTGGAGGCGCACCAGTGGGCAGAGTGGTACTGGGGACCAGACCACGCGTACGAAACACCCCAGCAACATAGCAGGGGTGCTGGTCTCGCGGCCCAAGTGGTCAAAGCCAAAGTGCACGCAGTCACTTTAGTGGAGACCAGATGTTAATCATCAGGATACCGGTATACGGACTCTGTGATTCGGGCAGAGGTTTTTGGCGGAAAGTCGACGCGGAGGCGAAATCCGTAGGATTCACTTCCAGCAGGATTTTCCCAGCATTCTACTTTCACAGAGACAAGGGAAAAGTCGACTGCGTACTCACCACCCACGTGGATGACTTTCTGTGGGCATCCATTGGTGAGGGAGGAGCCCTTATAGACCTCCTGCTAAGCAAGTTTGAGGTAGGCAGACGTGAAACCAGTCGCCTGCGCTTCCGCGGGAAGCAGTTTGATGCTTCAGGGCAGGATGTCCTTGTTGACGTAACCGATAATACCAACAAGATAAGGTATATCGAAATCAACAAGGAGAGGCAGCCATCTGAGCTCCTCAATAAGGGCGAGGAACGGCAGCTGCGGTCTGTCGTAGGAAGCCTATCCTGGATTGCTCGCCAGGCCCGGCCTGACATCCTTTACAGGGTGTCGAAGTTGCAATCCTCAATTAAGGGAGCCACTGTGGCTACCCTGCATGAGGCCAACAAGGTCCTTGAGTTGGCACTAAAAGGGAAGGACCTCAAGTTGAGGTACCTTAATGGTCCCTTCCAGTTTGAAAAGTTAGGAGTTCTCACTGCCTCTGATGCCAGCTTTGCAGGTGAAACGGGTAACCGTTCACAACAGGGTCGTATCCACTTCCTTGTGCCTATGGATCAGCTGAAAGACCCAGCGTGTAGTGTGTATGATGTTTTCATCGTAGGTTTTGCTTCCACCACGATAAAGAGGGTATGCAGAGCAACCCTTCAAGCCGAAACATACGCACTCCAATCCGCCCAAGAGGCTGGAGACCGCATCAGAGCGGCTCTAGCTGAACTTCGGGGTCATGCCATTAGAGGCGTCGAATGGGAGGATGTAGCCAGAGGTAAGGTACTTCATGTAATTAATGCTTAGCGACTGCAAAAGCTTGGTAGCGCATTTAAATGCGGACCAACCGGCCCGAGTTCAGGACAAACGCCTGCAAATTGAGCTGTCAGCGATCCGTCAATCCATTTTCTTGGATGATGGTCGCCCCACGATAGATGTCTACCCCGAAGGGGGAGACGGGGTCGATTGGATCGACACCGCCACGCAGGCTGCAGACTGTCTGACCAAAGTATGCGTCCTGACTTCATCGTCAAGATCATGTCTACCGGGAAATATCCAGTGAGCAGGGAGAAGCTTCCGTAGATTTCCAGAGAGTAGGCGTCGTTGGCGTGGTTGCGCGTGCAGTTCCCAAGTGGAAGAGATCTACCAATTTCCAGGAGATCTAAGTACCTTGGATGATGCATGTGAGTGGTGTACTCTATTGAGACACTACGGGCAACCTACAGCTAGCAAGGCTACGGACCGACGGCTACGGAACTAAAATCTGTGTACGGTGTAAAGACACACAGCATTATCACACAAGATCTGAGAACAGGTTGAGTGTGAACATGTCTGTGGGAGGACAGTTCTGAGAGCAGTTATAGGCCAGAGTCTTGTGCGCATATCTTGTATATCCGCTGCTGTAGGGCCCTTGAGTCAGCTTTATTGGTAATCGCAGTTCGTGTGAAAAGGAGAGCGCGCCAAATTCAAGCTCCTTTTTGCACCCGACGAGTCCGATGAGCGGAGTTGTGATGTTAAGGGCAAAGTGGCATGCGTGTGACGAGACACGACGTGCTCAGGGCAGCAGGCAGTAGGGCTCAGTACAACATTCAGGACAAAGGGTGGGCAACTGTACCAGAATGTGGAATAAGCACGGCAAAGAGGCCAGTCGAGAATGTTGCACAAGCAGGTCAGGGAATTTCGGGCGCTCAACTTGTCCCGAATGTTGCCTATGTTACCTCAATATCAAGAAGCCAGAGAGGCTCACGCGGGCAAGCGGCACAGCTCAGGTGAGCATCTGCGCCAGAACGTTGCCATAAATTCAATGAACTTCATGTCCGATTAAGACAGATGACTTCCAAAATCGAAATAGAATCGAGATGTGCCAGATACAGCGTTCAAGGTGTCAAGGTGTGCAGGTACTCTGGTTATGGGTCTCCCAAGCGTGCCAGCAACTACGCCGCAGCAAGAAAACAACACGGGGCGCTTTGGCATCCTCGCTCGTGATGAGCCGCGGGAGATGTTGCCCTGGGGCCGAAGAATTGCGGATGCCTTTCGACTTCGCAAAGCTTTGAACCCGTATTCATCGTCTTGGAATTACAGGGGCTTTGTCAATCCGTGAAAGGGGACGCCACGACTCGCAGGCATGAGGACACAGCCTGCTAGCAGACGTCGTCCGAGGTTTGGTAGCAAGATGTACCTTGTGAGATTGCCGCAGGGACATGGGGAGGCACGGGAGATCAGCACTCACCACAGTAGACATGAAACTACGATTGGCAATAAGTGTGCCGGCATGCCATAACGGCAGAGCGTTCCGCTCGAGCCTCCGGGAAGGAAAGTGCCTCCGACGGTAACAGGCACACAGCTTTGCTTGACATGGGCATGAAAACACAGGTTAGTCCAGTGTACACTCGACCGTGTTGCGCGGTCGCGGGCCCGGTTACAGGATTCCACAGCCTTGTGGGTCCACAATCTCTCTGGGACCACTTTCTTTGTCTCTTTAAGTCGTCGGGCCTGCCCTCCTCAGTTCTGTCCCACACAGGTCCTCGCAAAGATGCTTGTTGCATCCTTGAATTCTTCTCTCCACAAAACACCTGCGCAAACCGTACCGTCCGATTTTTGGAAGTATCGGAAAGCAATGAAAAGCCAGAGCCGGAAGTTGGTGGTTCCTTCACGGCGGCTAGAAGACACACGACCCCCAAACACGCAAATCGGAAACAAGTTTGAGCCCAGATTCTTGTACAAAGACTCTTCAAAACAGACATAATTTTCGGTCGCTCTGGCGCAAAGTGCAGTAGATTCGCGGTGGCAAGAGTGTGAGCGAGAGCTTCTGCTTCGTGTCTTCTTTTCTTGCGTGGTCCAAGCACTTTCTAGTGTAGCCCGAACAAATGTCAAGGGAATGACCGAGAAGACTTGTTGCGACTCATGCAGGTGGCGGCGGCCGAAGGCCCTGCCAACAAGCCGCCTTCTTTTGGAGCTGTGGTGTGAAGTTGCCGTAAGTGCATCGCGTACTGGCGTATCGAGAGATTTGAATTTTGCGCGGTCCGAGGTTGGCCCAAGTTCAGGCTGCGTTCAAAGCCGAGCTCCTCGTCGGCTGGTCTTCGAAGTCTTCGGCTTTGACCTTCGATCCTTTGCAATCCTGCAGAGGCTTTTCAAGCGCTGCGCGCAGGGCGACCTCGCCAGGGGCCGGCAAGCGTTGGTTTACAAGTTTATTTACAAGATTTGCGAAGAAAATAGGTCCCTAACTGAGGCTGGCGCGGAGGCCCTTGCATTGGGCGGCGTGGACCTGAATGGTGATCAGGCACAGACGCCTCTTGTCCGTCAAGCTAGCGTAGGAACTTTGCTCGGAGCACTTGACTGGCACTGGCACACGCGCTGTGTGCTCTCAACAAAGCATTGGCAAATGGAGATGCTTTGGACAGAGGCTGCAATTTCTGCAGGACAAACATTCGGGCTTGGAAGTCCAAAGGCCTGCGAAGTACGATCTTATCTTCACAGCGAGTTGCTCAGCGGAGGTCACGTGAAAGGCCCCGGGCCCCCGGGATCCAAAATACAGAAAGCCCGGGGGCCGATGCATCTCTTTCCGTTGCCTGTTTCGTGAGGAGCTCTTGCTTGAGCATTGTCGTGCCAGGGTTTGCTGCTGGTCTGTCAGCTTCGCGCTCCAGGTCAGGGTCACCTTTGCCCCACCCCCAGCTCGCCACAAGGCACACTTTTGCGGCACTTTCGCACCCTGTTGCATCCACTCCTCCAGAAGGAACTGGGTTGAACGCCCCAAAGGCGGGAGAAATAGCCCTGACACTCGACGCAGACGTGGCCCTGCTTCCAAGCCCTTTGCACGAGCCGTGAGGTTTGTTTCCGGCCCTTTGAAACCTCAAAAGTAGTATCCTTGTGAGCCCTTGCAGTCCTTGAAGCGCGCTTGAGGGCTCTGCTTCCAATCCATGCTGTGCACCCCTGCAGAGACGGGGGGCCCTTTTTCACGTTTTGCTTCGCCACGCTGCGCCCCTTTTTCGCAGCTGTGAAGTCCATGCTTCCGGTCCCTTCCGGTCATGCGTCATCGAAGGAGCGGCTGCGCACCCAGCAGATGTGCTGCCAGTTCTTTGAATGGCTCCAGATTTGCAGCATGACGAGTGTTGTCACGTTGTGCTGTCCTTTGCCTCCCCGCTTCTCAGCGCTTCATTCTTGCGGCCCCTCAGCCTCGCTGGCCCCACTGATTGACTTGCGCCCAACCGTGCCACTAGGGTCTGCGAGAGTTGCTACAAGTGTGCAGGGTGGAATGTCACTCTTGCTCTTCTCTCCCTAATCCACGAGCCACATTTACCCGAGAATCTCATACATCTCATACATCTCAGTACTTCTCAGTACATCTCAGTGCATCTCAGTATACCTCAGTACGCCTCTCATACATCCGCAAGGAGCTGGTGCTCGGCCCAGCTCTGGAGACCGCGTTTTGTAGAGCGCAGCACCGACAGATGGTCTTCTTGATGTCAACATCTTTTTTGCCAGTAATGTTCAAGAAGTGCATATCCGTGCTGTAGAAGGGTTACCATGGGCAGGTTGCCCTTATTCGCGGTTCTACTCTGCTCTGTTATGATGTTTCAATTGAAGTCTGACGCAGTGCTTAAACGAGGGAATGATTTCAGCCAGGCTGGATACACACCCTGGGCGTGGGCGGAGCTTTTTGGCCAGACCGAAGTTGCGCAGCGAATACAGGCACTGCCCATCACTGCCCATCACTGCCCATCACTGCCCATCACTGCCCATCACTGCCCATCACTGCCCATCACTGCCCATCACTGCCCATTCCATCAATTCGAAGCTTGCGTCCAAGCGTCATTGCAGTCAGGAGCTGGTGAGTGAGCAGAGTGAGCAAGAAGTGCAGCAACAAGAGCGAACCGGGAGCCGTATGAGCTCTACGAGCTCCAGATCAGACCATGTGGTGGAGCCCGAGCGCTTGGTTCAGTGTGCGGTGCCCGAGAGAGGTGGTTAAAGGACCTCACTGAACTCAGTTCGAGTCTGTTTGGTTTGGGAAGCCGCCGCTGAGGTTGTTCCGTAGATCCAATAGCTCCACAAGCTCCCGTTCAAGTGGCTCTGCTACTCTGGCCTCCAGCGATGGACGCGTGGCACCTCGAGCTCGATGAAAAGGCGGCAGAAGGGGAGGCGTCCGACCTGCCTGTCCATCGAAAAGCCAGAAAGGCGCGAGATTCCAGTGCGAGATTCCAGGGTTGCGATTGCCTCGCCTGGCGATTTGAAAGCTTACATTACTTGCATTGGTTGCTCCACTGTTCCACTCTGAATCGCAGGTTGCCGTGCGCATGCCTGTGCTGGACTGGTCAGTTGTGTCTTGGCAGGATGGGCTGGTCATGGTCATTGCTTGTCGGAACATGTCTGTAATTATGTGACCTGGCTTAGCTTGGGTTCCGTCTGGAACTAGCTACAGAACTTGCTACAGCTGCTGGCGCATGTCTCAAGAAGGCTACGCGGCTCCTCGATGAGCTGTCTTTCTGCATGAAGGCAAGGTATCTTGACGACGTGCGTATATGTGCACACTGCATGCACTGCTTATGTGAACTCGTATTTTGAAGAGAACGGGTCAAGAGGACAGATATGCAAGTGAACGCAGGCCCGCTGACGGAATTCTAGGCTCTAGCTTGCAGCTTCCATGTTTTTGCCCGCCCATTCACACCCCCCACCCCAAGCCAAATAGGGTAAAGCCACCAATTGACTTCCGTCAACGTTGGAGACGATTCCTAAAACCAAAACCCAAACTGACAAAACAAAAAGAACGAAACCGAACCCCAACCGAAAGAAGACCCTCGGGGCCCCCGCCTGCTGTGCACGACCTCGCGCACGTTTTCCTCTGACCAAAAGCCTGCGGGCGGATCTCGTCGACGCCTTGCAGAAAGTTGGGTTTATCACTGCTTAAAAATTCTCTTCCCCCCTTCAACGATGCTTCGTCGCATCCTTGGAAATAAATGGAAGTCTCACTGCTCCCCACACCGTCGCCCACCATGAATCAGCACACTTAGGCTTGGTAAGGATATCAGCAAGTTGGAACTCGGTGGGGACCCAAAAGAGTGGAGGTTTGCCATTGGCTTGCTCTTCACACAGATATTGCCTCAACGCAGCGAGATCTATAGCTAGACGTTTGTCTGAAGGGATCCTTGGGATGCCTTCTCGATGCACATGGTCGAATAGTGATTTGCAATCCGTGATGCACTTCAGCTGACTGCCGCTCAAGTCCTGTACACGTTGGAGGCGGCCGCGCAGCACTGTTTGCACAAAGGATCTCACATACTGCCCCATCTCGATGGCCTCGGAACAGCCTGTGGTTTCAGCCCCGAACGTTGAGCGACATACCCTAGGGTTTGCCGAACTCTTCCAGTCAAGGATGCTTCCTATGCCTCCTCCAGCTGAGTACTGCTCTCCATCGGTCAAGAAGATGAGGATTCCGAACTGGCTGGCGACCTTGGAATTCGCCCGTTTGGCCTTTCTTTCTTTGATGTCAAAAGGTGTATTCTTCATGACGCCGCTGACATGGTCCTCGTACTCGAGGCGGAAACCATCCTCACCCGTGAGCTCTGCATTCGCCCATGCTGAGTCGTGGTACACTAAAAACTCCAGGCTCTCAAGTTTCAAAGGTCGTAGCCAAATCCCTTTGTCTCGGTGATCCCACGCTCGTCGTGCTATCTGGTTGGTGAACTTCAGGTCAGCAACGCTTGGGTTCTTTTGGAGTTGTTGTGCAAGCGAAACTGAGCATTGAATATCGGGGCGACTCTGGGATCCAAGCCAGGAAAGGGCGCCGATGAGAGACTCAGAAAAGTCATAGATGAGAAGTCCATCGACGCCAGCGACCTTTACTGTGCCTTGCAAGCAGTGAACTCAGCTAAGAACGAGCTGCGCCGGAGACATGGCTTCTCACCAACCCAAGCTGTGTTCGGAAAAGATCCCAAAATCCCAGGAGAACTGTGCGCTGGCGATGACGAAGAACGATACCTGGAAATACTTTCACATGACCGCCAACGACAACGGGAGATGCATATTCGTGCCTCGGCCAGGATCGCCTTTTACAGAACACAACTTGATTCGAAGCTTCGTCGCGCACTTATCCAGCGGGCTCGAGTTAAGCGTGGAGGGTACTGCGTCGGGGAGTTGGTGTGCTTTTTCAGAGTTGACAAAGGAGGGACAAAGTCCAACTTCAAACGAGGTAAGTGGCGGGGGCCCGGAACGATCATTGGACATGAAGGTGGTAACTGGTGGGTTTCCTTTGGTGGGCGGTGTCATCTTGTTGCTGAAGAACATCTCCGTCCTAGCACTTCTGAAGAGCTTGGAGAAATCCTAACCACCAGGATTGCCCGCGATGATCTTGAACGACTTCTTAACCTAGATCCCGATGACCCCGCTACGTATGAAGATGAAGATCATGCTGACGACATTGATGCAGACGAAGGACAAGAGCAACTTGAGGGTGATGAAATGGATTTTCAGTTCGATCTCGAACCCGAGGATTTGAAAGATGAACTCACTGCAGAAGATAGGCCTACCAGCGAGCGACGAGGACTCGAAGCTAAGAAAGGGCCTGGAGTCCAGTCGGTTCACATGTTAAAACAATGCCGTACAGCCAGGTCCCTCGAAAAACAATACGAGAAGGAGATCCCCTGGGCAGTAATCCCACCAGAACAACATAGTGCCTTCCGACAAGCAGAGGATTGTCGATTCGTTGTTCTTCAGAAGCAGGCTCTTCATCTTCTTGCCCCTTCCCGATGGCTTCCAATGTAGTCGAAGCTGTTGATCTCCCAGTCGTCGACTGGGAAGATGCTCGAGAGGGCATTGCGAATAGCTTCGGACATTTTCTTGTCGCCAGCAACCAGGATGTCATCGACATGTACTCCGGCATACGCTGCCGGTTCGCTAGCTTCATTATCGGACGGAACAAGCTGAAAAAGGCAAGGGTCAAGCGCATTCTGCACAAATTTGTACTCAACGCCCTCTACACTTAGCCGCACTGCTAACATGTCCTTTCGGAAGCGCCTCCACCATTTGCGAGGACTGTCAGGAAGGCCAAAGATACCTTTGGTGATTCGTAGCAGTTGGTCTGGATGTAGAGAAGCAAGGCCTGAACGGGGCTGTCTGAGATACAAGACCCTTTCCAGAGCATCTCCGTTGAGAAAAGCTGCAGTAATGTCACCTGCTGATGCCTCCCACCCATGAGATTGCCTCCGACTTGCTACTAGCTGCAAGATGGTGAGCACCGATAGTCTGTTGATGGTAGGCGCGTCGGTGTCTAGGAGACCGATATCTGGATCGCGGTGTCCAGACACGACGATCCTCGCCTTCGGTTTCCAAGGAAGACTAGAATCAAGCTTCCGCCGGGACCAGTTCTTGTCTTTGTAGGCAAACCTTGAAGACAGGATACGACTTTTGTCAACACACTCACGAACACGAGCACTTTCTTCGAGTGACAAAGGTTCCAGGGCCTCATACTTGATGTGTTCGTCGTACTGTTTCTCACCAGAGCCCATGACGCTCTATGAGTCCTTGCTGCCAATGGGCCTGGCCTGCAGCGGGGCGAAGCCGGCATCCATGGAATTCAGCATAGTTCGCCAGCCCGGCTTGTAGACCTGTTTCCAAGTCTGCAGCAATTGTTCCTGGTGCCCCAAAAACAGATCCCCACATCTGAGTGAACTTCCGCTGAAAGGCTTCGGCGGAATGCCCTTCAAGCTCTCCGACAAGATGGAACGTTGTAGCATGGTCTATGACGGACAGCAACGAATGTTTCACCTGGGCTGCATCGAAAACTGTGAAAACGTCGACGCTCACGAGCTGGTTGAAATCCAACAAAGATGGAAGCTGATTGCTTAGCACGATCACAAACCTGACAACGCAGATGTTTGCATGCTTGTATGACATGTTCTTCAGCTCCAGCAAGTCTCAAATGTCTCGCTAGGTCATGGTTGCTTGGGTGGCCGAGGTTCTGATGAAGTCGACCAAGGGAAGCCTGAACGGGCTTGGGGACCTGAGCGTCAAACTTGATGTTACTAGTCTTTGCGGCATCTAGTCTTTCAGGAGGTACAGCTTGGGGTTGTTCGCCTTCGGGATCCTGCTGTTCGATCTCTCCGACATATACTGAATGAGGTCCTTGCTGCAGAACTCCAGGTTGCGCAACACGAAGCACTTGAAAGCCTTGAGCGTCGAAATCTAACTGGGTCTCATACATGTTAAGCAAGCTGTTGAAGGCATGGTCTCTCCACAGCATGTGTTCTTTGTTACCGCTGAGAACGAATAAACCCCCCAAGAGGATCTGATTCAACGCAGCGGAGAAGACCTGGGATGCGATTTCGTTGGACTTGGCATCGGTGATCTCGTCGTGACCTCCAATCCAGACAACACATGGGTGTAGGGCATGTATGGTTTCGAGAACTGTCTGGCAATCTGAATCGTTGGCAAAATCCTCCCACGAGACCGGTTCTATGACTGAGCTGCCGTTTCCTGCAAGGGTGTAGGCAGCAGCGAAATCTCCAATTTCCAGGATTGATGGTCTGTCTGGGGACGAACTCGGAAGCATTGCCTCGGCGACGTTACTCGAAGCTGCCGTCATACTTAAGGTTAACAGTGCACTTGCTCGGCTAGCCCCTTGCATGATCTGTCTTCTGATGCTCTTTTTGGGTCGCCGGACATGTTCGTTTTTCCAGGATTTGTTCTCAACGGCGATCTTCGTGGGGGTATCCTGCCCAACGGGGAAACCAAAACTTCTCAGCATGTCCCGTTCTTGTCGTGCCAGTTGCGACACCCCACGTGTTGTGTAAGCAGTAATGCTGATACGATCCCCTTCCCACTCTTCTACGCCATGTTTGCGACGACCATCGAACTTCACGAGCGCACGAGTGTCGACAAGGTGTCCTGAAAGAGCACGCCCTTCGCCATCTAACATAAAGTGGGGGACACCGATCTCTGGCACCTGGGCTTCAGGATCCGTTTCTATCCACAGACGACCGCCGCGGAAATTTCCGAAGGAGATGGTGCTTGCACTGGAGGGAACTCCAGGTACCCTTGGCCCCGTGTGCCCGCAAGAAAGCATTCATGTAGCGCACAACATAGACATGGTCGAAGGTCTTCTTAATGATGCCGTGGAAGTTACCATGACTAGAGGCCCCAAAAGCAATCGAGCTCCCCTGTTCCCCATGAGCTTGCCTTCGTCTACTGTTCCTAGCATGTTCACACACTCGGCGAGCCAGTTTTTCACAACTCTCGAAGCTGTAATCCTTGGTGCGCAAAAGGTCTTGCGCAACGACTTCAAGAGGTAGCTCTTCGGCACTGGACTCTCGACACTCATAGAAGGTTTCAGGGGCCCCGGTAGCATTGGCCTCCATACCGCACACATCTAGGACCCCTTCGGCACTAGCGTCGTTGTCGAGGTCAACATCACACGAGAGAGAGAATCACATTCCATGCTTCTCCTTGAGCAGGGCGATCCTGGTGGTTAGTGCCTCGAGTTCCTCTCGTACCTCCGGGGA